CACAACAAATAAAAGCAGTCTGGCTCTGTTGGGAGTGATGTCACTGTTCTTATGTGATGATGGAATATTTGAGTCGTTCATCATCAGTACATCATTATCATTAGAGTGTCTCTCATTACTGTAGTTTTCCTCTCCTCCATTACTGAAAATAGCCCAGAACACACACAGCAGGAGCTTCTGACACACACTCACACACACTATCTGCCTGTTTGATGAGTCTCTATATCAGTGACTCACAACAAGCAGCAAATAATGAAGAGTCAGCAGCTCTGAAAGACCTGATTACTGAGATCCTCTCATCTCCTTCACTTCCATTCACTTCATTTAAGAACAACCAGCTTCTCTTATTCAGTCTGCAGAGTCTCTCAGAACAGATTTACTAGATGGTCAGGAAACACTTAAAACTAATCTTAAAGAACCTGAAGGGAAGATTTCAGAGAAATTAAAATCTTTTTACTTGTTTTATGTGTCTCTTGTAGCTTCAAGTATGAGTCTTCAGGCTGTTTTATTCACTTCTACAGTCTGTAATAAGACAGATAAGAGAGGAGTGAATGAAGAAGGAGGAGTGAAAGACACACTGAAATAGAGACAATCATCAATCAACCTTTAATTATAATACGTTACTGCAGAAAACTAGAGAGACAAAGAGAGAGAGCACACAGACAAAAGAGACAGTAACAAATAAATAACTGAAACAAAAATATTTAAGTTCTAAAATAACACAGTCAGTCTGTATCAGATCCTCATAAAGAAAAGAAAACCCCCCAAACAACAGTGCAGCATCATCCACATTCACTGTGCTGTTATATTTCCAGCTTTATTAATATTTATATATAATGTTTCACTTTCCATGCATAACATCTTCACATTATATTATTCTCTTCACAGTGTCTTAAAGGGGAAAAAGCACAGAGTGGTGAGTATAATTCATTGTGTAGTGCTTTTATTGTGATGTGCTGATTGTTGGTGAAGAATGTTTGTGTTGTAAAGACTTAATGTATTTATCTGTACTGTGTGTTCAGAGTGTTCAGCTGAACATCATCAGCAGAGAGAGTTACTAACACACACTTCAGCTCTGTATGTATCACTATAGTGTAGAGCTCACAGCAGCCTGAGATGACTGAACACCATTAATAACACTGTTACCTCATTCACACACACACACACAGACACACACACACACACACATACACACACACACACACACATACACACACACACACATTAATATAATCAGAAATTTGTGTTAGAATCATTTCCTTACATGAACTTTAACAGCAAAGTCACATTTTTATCAACATTTATATAAATACTGTTCTATGAAGGTAATAATGTAGTTAATAGTGAAATATAATTTTTGTTCAACTGGAACATGAAGTAAAGACAGAATAAACAGGTTACAATTATTATTTAGTGTTTAAAAGTCTAACTGTAACTACATTAGCAGCTATAGTTCTTAAGGAGTCTATACTGTATATTTTCAGGAATTTTCTTTTTCCTTTTGATCCCCTTATAAGATTTGTGTGATTTTACATATCAACAACAACCATATTTTGTTATTACATAATCGTTTTTCAGCCTCTTTTCATCACTTAGAATTAAACAGGCTGCATTTGCAGCTTAGTTTCCATATATGGACTGTATGACTGAAGAGTGAACAACACATTTTGAAACTTCATCACTGTTTATACTAAATCAAACTTTTATTTAAAAAACAAATTCTGTTTTATGGGCCCTTTAAATATCTACACATCTCAATGTCTTACTATGGAAAATGCTGATGTGTTGTCTTATCATGTACTATTTTAAAAGTTCTTATTTTGTCCCTAATCAGAGTCTCCTTGGGTTCAGACAGTCTACGTTTCTCAGGTGAGCACATTATTCTAAACCGACCACTAAATAGACTCTAATATGATTTTTAATAAATTATAAATATAGACATTATTTTGTGTAAAAGCTGTGCAGGGCTGATTGTTGATAAAGTCTACATTAGTTTATTTTCTTCTTTTCTGTTGATTCTCTTTCATGATGTTGAGTTGAGTGTTAGTACAGTGTTAATGCTGATCAGTGTTCTGTAAGTGATCATGATCCTCAGAAGCTGCAGAGCTGAACTATTTTAATTCCTCTTTTCTGATGCTGTGTTTCTGTGGATCTGTTACTCACTTCCCATGAGCTCATGACTGAGGAATGATTTATTATGAGACTAAAAGTATAAGATGAAAAACAGCTCTTATTAAGTTATTAATATTAATATTTTTCATGGTCACAGCAGGGTCTCTGTAGTGTATTTCTCGGTCTGTCTCAGTCTGACTGTAAAATCACATAATCGCAAAAACTATAATGTATATAATGTTGTTTAAACACGAGTTTAAAAGATGCTGTGATTTTCAAACAATATCAGTTTAAATCAGTTAAACTCATCAGAATCTCAGCAGTGATTTAAATAGAGAAACAGTTGTTGATCATATAACATGCAGTATGATAGTTACAGAAGCAAAAG